AATTAAGTATAATTAGGAAGTTTCTAATAAGGAAAAAAACGTCTGTGTTACAGTAGCCTCAGCACAGGTTAATCCTCCACCTGCAAGCACTGACATCGCACGTGGACGCCAGTTCGTGTTCCGGATGCTGGCAACCCTCATGGGCTCCACCTCCCATCCAGCTCCTGCTTATGGCCTGGGAAAGCAGCGGAGGATGGCCCAGATTCTTCGACCCCTGCTCTCACATGGGAGAACCAGAAGAAGCTCCTGGCTCCCGTTAAAACTATTGGGAGAGTGAACCAGCTGATGGAAGATCATTCTTCTCTCTATAGAAATCTGCCTCTCAAATAAAAATAAATTTATGTGTACAGATTATATACATTATTTTTGAAATCTTAACATAAGGACCCTTTATTTGAAAAAACAGCACAATATTTACATTTTTTCATTCTGTGCCTGTAAATCTGACTTAGAATTTTAAAGTTCTATTATAGCACCCATGTCATAGTAATTTTTATTCATCTAAATCTTCTCCAGTGAAATAGAGTTAAAGAGGGGTGATGATGTAGAGCTACTCGTTTTTATCATTGCCTTTATTAAGACACTAATATTTAAGAATTTTTGTATCAGGTACTATGTAACATATCACTTATAGACTTACACATCAATTGCCACGGTTAAATTAAATGGAAATATATTATTTAGGTAGTGCTATCATTTAGGTATTATTAGGTAGTACATTTTATTTATAGATATGTAAAGGTCTTCCTCTAAAAAAAACCTTTATGTAAAGTTTTAATGACTTCAGAAGCAAAGATGATATGAACTCACAGAATTTGAGACACTTAATTCAAAGTGTAATGATTTATCTTTATTTTACACTAATGTACTTTCGGATATAAAAGTTTAAAAGTTTTTAGTTCCTCTGATTTAAGATGGAAAATGTTGACTGAAATATAAAATTAAGTCTTTTGGGACTTGTACTTCAACTTTGGGTTTAGTAAAATATTTTATAGGCAACTTAGGCCTGTGCCTTTCACCAACTTTGGGGTGGGGGAAGGTGGTTACATGGCATTCCTGGAGCAGGCCTTCAGCCTCATGGTTAAGACAATGGTGACCCACGTGGAAGAATGTGGATTCAATCCCTGATTTTCCTCTTGACTTCGGTTTCCTGTTAATGCAGATGCAGGGTGGCCAATGGTGACAGCTGAGGCAACTGGATCACCCACTCCCACGCGGGAGACTTGGATTAAAAATCCCAACTCCCAGTTTTGGCCCCAGTAAACCAGCAGCCATTGCACATGTTTAGGGAATGAACAAATAATGCTTGGGAGTGCTTGCTGTCACTCATCATCATCATCATCAATGCATTACAGTTCTGACAACACATAACTTTTTTTTAAGTTTATTTAATTACAAATTTAGAGAAAGTTGGGATTTTTATAATGGCAACTTTTTGTCTTCAATCACTGAGACAACCAGAGCATCTGATATGTGCTGCTGTAATCAAGGTTATCTTCTACATCAATGCAACGTTAACCATCAAAGTCAGAAATTAATGCTGATGCATTCTCAGTATCTGCATCTCAGGCCCCACTTAAGTTTTCCAGTTGCCCCGATAATATTCTTTACAGCACAAGGATCCCATTCAGAATGTTACACTCGTTGTTACTCGTCATTAATGCTTTTCATGTGAGGTAAGCTTCTTCTCTCTTTCTTGAACTTCCACAAGCTTGTCATTCTATCTCATCAATCCGGGGATCTGTTGTTAGCCCACCACGATGATGTCTACACTGACCGTTTGACGGAGGTGATGTGTTCCAGGATTTTCCACTGTAAATTACTAATACACTTTCATTACCAGTCAGGATTCTGTGGGGAAGTACTTTAAAATGATGTAAATACTTTTCTCACCATCAGAATTTGAGTGTATTCACTTTTGGGTAAATAACAATAGACTCCTGGGTTCCTACTTTATTTCTTTATCAATTTTCCCAGAACTGACCCGGGGAGGATAGGGGAGGACTCCAACAAGCTGGTCCTTCTGCCGACCCTCATTCTAGGAAGACTCCCTGGGATATGGATACTAAAGATGATCCATTTCTAGTGGTCTCCTTTCTGCCGCAGCCCTGACACTACGTACTTCTCCAAACTATCTCTCTCCATGAGGAATGGAAGGCAGAGCAATGCTCTGTGTACCAGCTGTACTGAATGTTATTACAGCGGTCTAAGCACTGGCTATTGTAAAAAAAGATCACACAGATGGGGGTTGAGACCCCATACATTTATGTCTCCCATCTTTGGAACCCGGGGAGCCCACTCTACAGATGCATGCTGACTGGTTCCTGGAGAGGGTCCACTACCCGGCTTGACAATAGCTGCCTTCCCGTGGGGACTTCGCTTACTACTGTACGAAAAAGGCATCTGTTCCTTTTCTCACAAGGGCACTAGTCAGATTCAGGGGTCTCCAACCTCACTACCTTACCGGCAAATTTTGGGAGATATAGTGTAGCTCCCAGGCCCTCCTGGTGGCAAAGCCAGGGTCTGTATCTAAGTATGTTTAGAGATCTCAAAACAAATCTACAGGTTCACAGTTACTTATTACATACTTAATTTGTATATGGAGGAAAATGAGTCAACACCAGTACTTCTAGTTCCAACCAGAACAGTTCATTCTAACCCCTTCCTTTTGAATATCTTCATCAACAGGCAGGAACTTGGGTCCTCTTTTCATGGATATATCCTACTCTTTGAACCACAGTCTTACGATAACCAAGATCCCATCTTTACCTTCCTTCTTTCCCAGTGGATGCCCTCTTCACCCCCTTCTGGGTGCCATGCCTCAGGCCACCATCTCCCTGCCAAATCCAGATACCCTCTCTACCCCCAAAGGCCCTGAATGCTCACTCATTCGATGCCCCCTCTTCCTGCGTGGTTCCAGCTCACTGTCACTGGGCTCTGAAGTCCTGAATAAGCTGCTCCTTATTCAGGAAGTTGCTCCTTAATAAGCAGCAACTTCCACGCACATAGGACTGTGGGCTGTTCTCAGCTCACTTCGAGGAGATGCCAAGATGGCTCGAGAATCCAGACATCCTGAAAACATGGTTGGCAACCATGACCTTGTTGAACCTCAGACCACAGCGTGTGTGCTCCACACCAACAAAGGAAAGTCAGGGGACACTTCTGAGCAGGAAAGACACATAGGAGAGTAAGAAAGATGGTCAAATTCTCATTACCAAATTGAAAAAACTGAATGAATACATTGCCCATTTTCTTAGCCACTGGTTTTAGGAGGAATAATATAAATAGCTAAGTATATAAATTTGTCTCAATGTTGGAATGCTGGCAGATAAGCTAACTTCATTAGTGAAAAACCTATCCCAGTGTTTATTGCCTTACTGGTATCATAGCAATCAATTAATAATTACTTCCTTTTATAACAGATATAAGGCATGATATAATAAAATATAATGCTCAGCTGGAGCAAGTTTATCCAAGTAAGATAAAAAGCATGCTATTCAATTTTTTTTAATATTTAGATAAATTAGGAGAAGCTGAATGATGATGGGACTTGAGTTTGCAGCAGGTGTTGCACAGAAACTTGCCTTGTCCTGACACAGTCCTTGGAGTTTGGCATCTCCAGCCCCAGTGTGAGAGCTGCCCACGCCGCGGGCAGAGAAGGTGTGAAAGATGGGCTGGACCAGTGATGCAGCACAGGAAAGCATCTCCACACAGCAGCTGAGGACATGAGGACAGTTCACACCCTAAGAGCTATGTTCCTACATAATACAAATACAGCCTGGGGCCACAGAAAGCTCCTGGGGTTCAAGGCTTCGACTTGGCTCAGCTCCACTGTCATACCATCTGGGGAGTGAACCAGCAGATGGAAGATATCACTTTCTCCTTCTCTCTCTCTGTGATTCTTTAAAATAAATAAATAAATGATCTTTTTAAAAGAATTTTCTTGCGAACTGAGAATAACAGCAAACTTCTGTGCTACATTTTAATTTGTAGCTGCCTTAACTTTTACAAGAAATAGAAAAAAAACTTAAACCACATTGACTTAAGTTCATACGTCTTTAAAGACTTTTCACATCGTTTTTTCTTAATCTGTAAGAGTATCTAAGTAAGTAAACAAGAGATCTTTAGGTTCACCCACATCATACAAAAAGAAAGTGTGAAAGCAGATAGCACGTCAAGTCCGGGGTGGGGGAACAGTTTGCCTAGCTGCCACGCTGACGAGATGTTTCAAGTCAGCCCACGTCACAAGTAGGCTTGATTTGGCAGTGAAATCATGGAAGTAAACCTAAGCACTGAGTGCAAACCTGCAAGAATGATGCTCTGGTTAGCTCTGACCTTGTACTTTCCTTCATTTGGTGATTTCCTTCTGCCCAAAGGGATCTCTAACTGTGACTGGCTTTCGACACCATTATTTTCATTCTGTCATTGGCTGAAAGAGCACCCCCACTCCGCCAGGATGAAAACACATCCAAGACCTTCCGGGCAGAGCCTTCGTCCCCATTTTGGCCATTACAAGGGCACAGCATACAATCACTTAAGAACCATGGAGTACGATGCCAGCAAAACATGATTCAGGTAGCATAGATACAGGAGAAAGAACCAGCCAGACATACTTTCTGCTCTCTGACACTTAATATGACTCATGAGCTTGTCTGCTCTCCCCTCTCTTCCGGTGAATACTCCGTCTGGTTTCTGCTGCTTTCACTATCACGTTACTTTGTCATTGCCATCCCAATACCAAGCTGTGCAAACCCTGAAAACTGCAGACCTATATTTCCCTCAGAAAAGACTGCGCTCTTCAGCAATGCCAATGATTTAATATTCTGGTGGCATTCACAACAGAATAAGCTAGATTTTGTTAGGCAAATTTGCTTTTACAAGACATTCAAAGTAAATCTTGTGGGTTTATTGCCCAATGCCAAGTAAAATCGGCTCCAGAGATCTGGCAGTGCTGAGAGTCCCAGGTGGTGGCTGAGCATGACGCTACAGGAGGGACAGGGCCCTGCTATGTGTGGCTGAAATACAACAATCAACATGTGAAGCGTCCCAGACTCGCAGAGCACCAAAAGAAGGCTGTGAGCAGACTTGATGGTAACACACAGGAGGGGCCAGAAGGAGCCAAGGCCTAGGTGTGCTTCCGTAACCAAGCAGCGATCCTGGCACTCCGCTGTCTGTTTTCCAGGTTTTCGTTCTTTATGGTCTGTAGTTTGGCATGGACTGTGAGCCTCTGGGGCTCCTCCAACATGTCACTGAAAAACTGCTGCAGCTGGAAGGAAGTAGAGAGAAGGCAGATCAAAGTCTGCACCAAAACCCAACAGTGACTGCTGGAACTAGCAGATTGTGTCTGCCCCAATGGATGTGGGGTAGACCAGAAGGCCCATGCTGCATTACCAAAGTATGTGTGGGCAGTTGGTCTCAATGTTTGCTGGATACATACTGGATGTGACAAAAGATTTGCAGACAAAGTTATGGTGAGCATTTTTAAAATCTAAAAATAAACTCTGAAACTATATTTCAAAATCTGTATGTAACATTTGTGTCTTTATAAACATAATTGTTTAGGGACCAATGCAATGGCTCAACAGCTAATCCTCTGCCTGCAATAATCCCATGCGGGAGCCAGTTCATGTCCTGCCTGCTCTACTTCCTACCCAGGTCCCTGTAGATGCACCTGGGAAAAGAGCGGAGATGGCCCAAAACACTGGGACTCTCCCCGCACCCATGTGGGAGACCAGGAAGAAGCTCCTGGCTTTGGATCAGCTCAGCTCCAGCCACTGCAGTATTGTGGGGAGTGAACCAGCAGACGGAAGGTCTTTCTTTCCCTGTCTCTCCTTGTCTCTGTAAATCTGCTTTTCCAATAAATAAATGGATAAATAAAAACTTAATCTAATTTTAAAATAAATATTTAGGGAGTGATTCATCCATTGGCTAAGCTTCTTAATTGGATCATAATAAGCATTCTGTTCTTGGAATATGTGCCAATCATTACACATAAGCTGGATTTCGACAGAAAAATAAGTTACATCTCAAAAGTCTATTAGAACTGAGAACTCATTTCATAATATGTGATTGCATGCCCATAGCAGCTCACCAAAGCTCACAGATGTACCTGAAATCCAACAGTAATACGGCTATCAAGTCTGATTTCAATGTATTCTTTAAAGATTTATACTTATTTGGAATATAAAGTGATAAAGAGGTAAGGCACACACACGTTCCCTCCTCAAATGGCTACAACATCCAGAGCTGAGCCAAGCTGAAGCCAGAAGGCATGCACTCCCCCATGGACATGCGGGTGTGTGCACACAGAGGGAGGAGCCCTGGACTTAGAGGAATGGTTTCTCACAACCCTTCTAGTAATTATTTTGGATACTGTCATGTGAACTGATGTAATATAATAGGGTCACTGGACATTAATACATTGTTGATAAGGCTATTCATCATAGCTGACCTATTTTTACAGTTGGAATAATTTGATAATTGCTAAATTCATTTGTGCATTCTCTAAACTATCAGTGGCTTCAAAATTTTAAAACGGTGAGGTTTACCAAACTTATTCCAACCTTCACTCGTTAACACAACAAAACATGACTGGGTTCAACAGAGGCAAAGATGAACCGATGAGATCACTTGGTCTCCACCCCGAGCCTTCCTCCCAGCAGGCTCTGCGTGTGCCCTCTTCCCCCTTTCCTGACAGCTCAGCCTGACACGGGCCAGAACCCAAACAGGAACAGCACCTCCAAGCTGGCGGTTCTCCTGCTAGCAGCCCCGTGACTGAGTGGCATTTATACGCTGTTCTTGGTTTACTTTGTACAGCTGTGGGTCTTTCTACGGATGTTTGTTCCCTCAGGTTGCTTTCTGGTGTTCCTCTCCTCATTTCCTTCCAGAACGACGCCTCTGCCTGTTCAGTAGCTGAGCGGGTACGGCTGTTTCCCAGTGCTGGTACATGACCTGGCCAGGCCGCCAGAGTGCATGTGCACTACTCAGGCATTGGTGCGTGTGACCCGAGCAGGACCAACCCAAGTCATATTTTCAAGGTGGGAACTTGGAGTTTAGTAAGAAATTTTCCTTCCTTCTGTGGCTCGAATGTCAAGGGTCACGTGGGCCAGGAGGCCATTCCCTCCATGTGGAGAACGCTCAGACTAAAGGAATCTCAGTCCAAAGAGAAACAAAACCAAGAATGTACTACATTCCAGAATACAGGCCTAACTACAACATGGTCACAGTTCACCAGGCGCCCATTGCAGTTCCATGCCATTGACACAGGTCCAAGATAAAGGCAGATATGGGATAATATGGGAACATAAATCAGTTCACTAAAAAATCCCTAGCGTGGGATTTGAAAGGGAAGTTAGGAATCACTTCTAAGGAGGGATGAGGAAGGCGGGTAGTCTCATCCACCAAGGGGATGGGGTGCTGTAGACATAAGGCTAAATGGTCTTGAAACCTAGAAAAGCTGAACTGATGTGAGAGTGAGAAATTGTGCAAGTGGTGCAGCAGAGCTGGCAGGTGCAGGGGAAGGGATGATGAACACGGCTGCGCCTTCTGCTCCCCGGGGCCGGGGGAGAGGGGGGACAACACGAAGCCAGAGCGAGGCTCGGCGCAGGCCACGGGGAGCTGCATGTGCTCATCAACAGATTCTTTCTTTCATCCTTTTTTTCCTTCTCCCCTCCTCCTCCCTCCCTTTCCTTCCTTCCTGAAAGAGAGACAGATGAAAAAGTTTCTATCTGTCAGTTCACTCCCTGACTGCCTCTAACAGCTGGTCTGGGACAGAAGCGGAGACCAGGAATTCATTCTAGGCCACCCTCCTGGGGGCTTCAGCCAGAGCAGGGAACTGAACTGGGCCCTGGGATGGCGGTGTGTGTGGGGGGGGAGGGGGGAGGCCGGGCGGGGATGCAGGCATCTTAACGTCCAGGTGACACACTTGTTCTGAAGCCAAAGACTCTGAAGTCTACACAGAGCTCAGGAAGCCTTGAGAGTGGGGCAGTGGGAAGGTGGGGATGAGCAGGGAGCAGAGAGATAGAGGAGTGTGGCGCCAAAGGATAAAGTCGAGCCTTCAGGAGCAGGACCAGGTGACAAGAAAGCATGGAGGGGAACTGAGTAGGGCTGTAGCAGATGTGACAGTTACGTGTAACTCTCAGCACGTCCAAGCCACACGACAAGCAGTGTGCGGTCTGTCACCGTGCTCCACACCAGTCAGGCACTCACCTCTGTGATCTGTGCGTCTGTACTTATCGTCCTCCCAATCGTGTACATGAGCGCAATCAGTGACTGGGCTCCGTACCTGCAGAGCAGAGGAGGTGATCAGGACGGGTGCCGCTCAGGGACCAGCCCCTGTTCATCCAGTCTCCTTTCTGAGCAAAACATGTAGGAACTAGCTCAGCTCAGCCTTCAAAACAAAAATATGCTGTGTAGGAAAGTCTATTCACACTGAAAAAACATTTATAGTTAAACGCGGATCTGTGTAACTTGTAATATTAAAATTTAATTTGACTGCAAAAGCTCCTCTTTTTAAATGGATTTTTTAAATTATTATTTTTTTATTTTGATGATCTTTACATAGTTGCTTAGGGCACAAAGGGTCAAGGGCTACAGGAAAGTGGGTAAGACCATTATTTCCACATTCTTTCTCTCTCTTTTTTTCTGTATCTGGGGGAAGGTGGGAAGGAGAGTGGATAAAGGGAGAAGCCCTACCCAGCCTCCCACCCATCCCAGGGTCCCCACGTGGGGCATGCTCCAAGGGCACTGCTCAAGTAGCTCTGAGAGTTCAACTCAGCTCCTCTTAAAAGCAAAAATCTACAGAGGTTGGCAAAGTGCTGTAGCAAGCTAATCCTCCACCTGCACACAGCCCCCAGTGACTCCTCTCCATACGGTCCTAACAGGTGTCACGGATTATGCCTAGAATTCCATATTCAAATAAAACTAGGGTTTTCCTGTAGTCTATGAATCCACTTAACAAGGCTGATAAAACAAACAAACAATTCCTACCACATACTATACTACACTTGATCTTAGCCAAAAGGCCAAGAAGCGATTCCTACCACATATTATAAAAGGCCACAGAAATACTCTTGCTTCTCCCTGTTGGTACTCTCACAGGCTCCATCTACAGCAGCATGTCCACTTCCTAAAAGGCCAGTAGAGCCTCCATCGATGGTACCAGTATTCAGAAGATCATCTCTGGCCAACACGGAATAAGTCACAGCAACCACTGCCCAGCACATGGGAATGAGAGGCACAGCCAGGCCAAAAGTGATTTTACTCCACTAAACACCACAGAGCATAACCCTGATTAGGCCTCCTAGGCAGGATTTGGGGCCTGGTAGAGAAAGCAGTGGTCCTCAGATGCACTGGCTGAATACTCAGCTCCACACAGGACCCTGGAATGGGACGGCATCCCCAAGTCCGTGTGTGAGTCACTGTGAGAAGTAACTCCACCAGGGATCTCACAGTAAGGGGTATCTTCAGAGCTGCTGTGTTGTTCATACCATACCTAGGACCAGACCTGAATGGGAGAGGATGTGGACTTTCTTTGTAAGTTTTTTTTTCTTTTCACATTTAGGTGAGCTACCTCTGTCCCTGCCAGACTGTTCCTCACCCACAACCAAGGAACTATCTTCCCAAGGACTAGGTCCCAGCAAGACAGCACCTGATGGGGTATTTCAGAGGCTCTTTGGCCAGGCTCACCCCGGTTCCATTCCCATAGTCAAGCCCCAGCCAAAGCTCAAAGCTCAACACATTTAAACAATGAATCAAAACCTTCTGAAACAGGTAGATGATTCAAGTATTTTCATTAAAAAAAAGAAAGAAAAAAGCTACAGACTGGTGGGGAAAAGGGAAGAACAGACAGGATTCTTAGGGTAGTAGAAAGATTCTCTGCAGGGCACGGTGGAGTAGACACATGCATGCAACAGACCCAGAACGGGTAACACCAAGAGAGAAGCCTAGCCACACCACAGACCTGGGGTGGCAACGATGTGCTGCAGTGGGTTCACCTGGCACAAAATGTTGACAACAGGAGAGGCTATGTCAGAGCAGACAGAGGGTACACAGGAACTCTTTATCCCATGAACTGGTATAAACTTCAAACTGTTCTAAAATTAACTTTTTAAAATCAACTGAAAAGCAAGCTCACTTAACTGCATTAAAATTTTTTTTTCTAGAATTCAGATAAATAGATCACATCACATGATTAGCTTTCCAAACAAGACAAATGGCAAAACTCTAACTTTTGGCAATTCAAATATTTAAGAGATAGAAAGCTATCAAAAATACAGACACTTGGAGTGTCAACAAAGAACATATTCCTGGCTTCCATAGCTTCAGTGGTGTCCTCACAAGAATCAGTGACTAAGACGTTAACACTGCACTATGGCACAGGAACTAGGAAGAGAGCTGAGCTCACAGCCAGCGAGCCAGAGTTCTCCGGTTCCTAGGCACAGACTCTGGGCAAGTTCTTTGCCCTTACTAACAGATAATCACTTCACATGTCATTGTAATTGTTATATATACAAGCACATTGTTCCATTTTACTTGAGAGAGAGAGAAAGAGATTTTCTACCCCAGATCCCGGCAGCAGCTGAAGCTAGGCCAGGCTGAAGCCAGGTTCCTAGAACTTTAGCTGGGTGTACCACCCACATGGATGGCAGAACCCAACTGAGCCCTCACCTGCCACCCCCCAGGGTGCACATTAGCAGCAAGCTGCAACAAGAAAAAGAGTTTTGATTGGAACCAAGCACTCGGATGTGGGATTTTGAGTGTCCCTAGCCAAGCTTAAATCTTGTACCAATCACTCGCCCCTAAACTGTTATTTTAAAGAATCAACCTTTAGGCATATGTATTTTACTTTAAACATAGCATTTCTACACTTCTAGGGACATTATCAGTGTCACAGACTAGAAAGTGAAAAAAATACTGAGAGAAAAAAACAGATTAAGGTAGAGAATAATAAACACATGTACCAATACAGTAAGATAATATTAATAATAATGGGCATTAAGCACTTACCACATCCCCAGCACTGCACTCATTACATGGTTAGATCATGCTAAGCCTTTTATAAACGAGGAAACTGAGGGATCCCAGACTTTAGCCACTAGGCTACTGCTCCAGATCCCTCCACATTTTAAATTAAAATTTACACTTTAGGACGTGATACAATGGCTCAATGGCTAAATCCTCACTTTACAAGTACCAGGATCCCATGTGGGTGCAGGTTCATGTCCCAGCTGCTCCACTTTCCATATAGCTCCCTGCTTATGGCTTGAGAAAGCAGTAGAGTATGGCCCAAGGCCTTAGGGCCCTGTACCCACATGAGAGACCTCAAAGAAGCTCCTGGCTCCTGGCTTCAGACTGACTCAGCTCCAGCTATTGCAGCCATTTGGGAAGTGAATCAGATGGATGGAAGATCTCTCTCTGTCTCTTCATAAATCTGATCTGTTTTCCCAATAAGAATATAAATAAAATCTTTCTTAAAAATCTATGTTTTAACTGAATACTACATACCTTCATTCCACACATAAAAACATGCTTTTTGGTAGTGCAAAGGGATCCAATTAATTTGTAACCATGAAAGAAAGATACTTCATTTTTTTTCTCTACAAGAAAACATATCCAGCCCTGGTTAGGAGCAGACTAGGCTGGGCCAGGCTGTAGTACCTTCTGGCACAAGCAAAAGCCAGGTCCAGGGTTGGGCTGGGCAGGCTGGGGTGGGCTGGGCTGCAGCACCCAGCATCATGCATGAGATCTGGGGCTGGGAGCAAGCCTGGCAGGGGAACATAGGTTCTCCCCTGCTGGGCCACAGCTCCCACTGTGACTCACTGGCAGGTATGTGGGCTGGGTTTGGGGGTGGGCCAAGGTAGACAAGGTTGTAACATTCACTGGCTTGTGGAGCCAGGATGGGGTGTGGGCTGAACCAAGCTAGGCTGCTGCACCTGCTGGCTCACATGAGAGCTGGGAACAGGCCACACTGGGATAGGCTGCAGTACCTGCTGGCCACATCTGGGACTGGGGCCAGGTCATGCCAGGCTGGGTTAAAGTACTAACCAGCAAAGGTCTGGGGCTGGAAGCAGGCCTGGTAGGGGAACTAGGGGAACTCCCCTGCTGGACGGCAGCTTCCACTGGTGAACACGGGAGCTGGAGTAGGAGGCAAATCAGGCTGAACAAGGCTGAGCATCGGCATTTATGTCCTTCTATTGCAAAGGAATGAGCCGGCCTATGGAAACCCTCAGCAATCTAGGCATTCTCAAGCCTTTCGGGTGCTCAGGCCTTAAACGGGCTACTTGGCACCTGCTCCACCTGCAGTTTGTGAGGAGGACTAGGTATTGCGGTGCAGGACACATTCATTCTGGGTTTTCGAGAATCCTTGGTTAAGCAGCGCACTACAAAGACCAGCCAGCAAGGACATGCTCTCTGGTTATCTGATGTTAGTCACACTGTTAGTATGTATTTTATCTGAAAGAAGGAACAGGAAGTGAGCAGATTTAATCTTAAAAGGTGGAAAATACAAAACTTATAGGAATCCAGACTCCAGCTTTGTAAGGAGACCCTGACAAATAAAGAACATCCACTCTGAGGCAGTAATGACTATCGCTCCTAGAGCTACACAACAGATTCCACAGAACAAACAAAGGATCTGTCCAGCAAACACAACTTGCTCTAATCCGTGACTCCTAGGACAAATGCAGGAGTGAGTGCAGTGGAGAAACGGGGGTAGCGCAGTCTCCCACGAGCTCCATGTGCAGACACCAAGCTAGGGCTGGGGTCAGCTAGCTGGTGATGACCGTCAGCGCAGCCGTGACATTCTGCTCAAGTCAAACGACCCCTGGGAGGCACTCGGGCCACAGCTGAGCTTCAGGTCTCACCTTTCACTCACAGCCTGCCAGTGGTTGATTAAAAAGTCCTTGGCGATGTACCGGCCAACTTCGGAGGCAGCCACAGTTTCAATCACATTCGTTTCATTGAAAGCAAGTGGAGATGTAGTGATGGCATATTCCAAATACCTGCAAAAGTACACTGCAAAAACTGAGTGACTAAAAGGAAAATTCCACATAAAGAGTTAACTTCAACGGAATTAAAATCCCACAATTCTCAGTGATGCACAAAAGAACAATGTTTAATTCTCATATTCAGATAAGCACTTTTCTTTTTTAAGGTTATTTATTTGAAAGGCAGAGTGGAAGAGCAGGTGGGAGGGAGAATAGGACAGAGGTCTTCCCACCACCTATTTCACTCATCAAATGGCCACAGTGGCCAGGGCTGCGCCATGCTGAGCCAGGCCAAAGCCAGGAGCCTGGAACTGCCCTTTGAGCCCCCAAGCGGGCAGCAGGGGCCCAGGCACGTGGGCCATCTCCCTCTGTCTCTGCAGCTACGTTAGCAGACAGCTGGAAGGGAAGCTGAGCAGCTAAGGTGTGAACCAGGGCTCTGCTACAGGATGCTAGCTTCTGCAGGCAGTGGCTAACATGCTGCACCACATGCCGGTCCCTTAGCACTCTTCCGTTCTCCCTGCACTTTACTGACCGAATAATTCCTTCCCCAGGCAGGTCCATGGCAGGCTGAGCGCAATCACCTGTTAAGTATCCAAGGGTCTTTACTGCAGCTCAAGGCATAAGCAAACTGCAGCCTTTCTTCTTCCACTGTGTTATTAACATAGGCGCTGAACAGGAAGTCCCATTCTTCATCACTTCCCAAGGCAATGCCATAACACAGAGTCACAGTTTTAATTGGACATGGTATTCTGTAAGATATGACGTGCAATCCTATTCCTCACAGTAAAGATACTGCTTACCCAGGTTGCTCCATATTTAGAAGTTTGCATCTACATTTGAGATCTCAGTCACAGAAGTCAAAAGCAGGGATCTAGAGAAGCAATGGTGTGAACTGTTACTAGCCTTAATATTCTCAGAATAGATCATTGAATTAGTTCAGAAACTTAGCCTTCAGAGAAAGGCCACTCAGGGTCGTACGGTGGGGGTGGATGATGTAGTCTGGTCCCTCATGATCCTATTCCCTACAAATCCTCCAGAGGTGCTGAGTAGTGCTGATGAAGCCAGAAAGACCAGCACAGGCTCTTCTCTGATGAGCTCTACAAGCCCAAGGCAGACACTCCGATGCACTGATAGATACAGACGGGACGCCCCACCCCTGCCAGAGTGGCTGGGAGAACACAGACTCAAATCTGTTGCTACACGCAGACCTACAACAGTCAACTGTTTGAAAAGGTGGGGAGTATTTGAGAAGAATGGACAGGAAAGATTGATTCAGTGGAGGCAGAACTGCCACCCCCCAGGGAGAGCACCCCCAAGGCCAAGAGGTAGAGGCTTTCCTTGTGTCAAGTGGGATGCAACCGAGAGGGATCCCCAATTGACGCTCACTCATCCTGTGGGTGCGTCATCCACTTCCGGAAGAGTTCTCGTGACAGCCCAAGACAGTCTTCAAGGCCCAACCAGCACGCAGTTCCGAAGAGTTTCTCCAGGGATATTCTTCAAGGAAAGGCCAAAGAGAAAGTCATTTCACCACACCTTCATCTTTCGATGGATAGCACCCTTCCAACAACATCAGGTTTCTTAGGGGGAGCAGCTTGTGTAGATGACAAATACGTTTAATACTCAGAGAAATATTTGCTGAAAAGCTCTCCAGCACCAAAAACAAAAAGCCCTTCTGGGTAGCATTTTATATTTTTAAGTGAGACATAAATCACTTTCAGCTTTCACCTCTTTCACTCACACACAGGCGCAATCTACACATCTGCTGTCGAGTTACTTTTTCTCTCTTTTACAATAATGCCTATGGATAAAGAAATGACTTCAGAGTGCCTGATGTAATATGTTTCATCTGAGAAATGGGGAGGGGGTGGTTCATTCTCCCCTTGCGAGGTCATGCTCCCTGCTGGGGCGCTGTCCCTGCCCTACTGCCCACTGGGGCGCTGTCCCTGCCTTACTGCCCACTGGGGCACTGTCCCTGCCTCTTACTGCCCACTGGGGCGCTGTCCCTGCCTCTTACTGCCCGCTGGGGCGCTGTTCCTGCCTTACTGCCCACTGGGGCGCTGTCCCTGCCTCTTACTGCCCGCTGGGGCGCTGTCCCTGCCTTACTGCCCACTGGGGCGCTGTCCCTGCCTCTTACTGCCTGTTAAGGGAAGAATGAAGGCATCTGTTTGCTTTGGCTTTTGACTGGACAGGAGCTCACACTATGGCTCAAAGTAAACTCAGTACCTAAGAATACAATAAAGAAGAAAAGACATCTTGGCAAGTGATGCCTGGCCATGCATGTCTTGAATTCTTTCCATGTCTGGACTCCGAATAAAGGAGCCCAAACTGTCCATCAGCTAGAAAGTGCCGGAGCTGTGCCTCTGTTTCTCCACCCTCCCGCTTGACCTGATCAGTAGACGTGGAATGTTCAGGACAGAGGTCCTCCTGAGACAGTCTGCATGTTTCCACACATGCTCACTCCCTCTCCCCACGCATCCACCCCTGATCCTGGATACATAAAGATGAAGTCCTGTGGAAGCACCGTCTGACTCCCTAAGGCAACTCCCAAGAGAAGAACTGGTCCAAGTGCTGCAAAGTAGAAGCCACTTCAGGGCAACTTAGGAAAGTCAGCTGTCCATCTGGTTAACATGTGTGCTGCCCATGCAGCATGCCTCTGTCTTCCTGTTCACTCACACAGCATGGCTTCCCTTTCTGTGCCAGTATCCTCTCCCGCACCCTCAGCCCCCGGCTTCCATCCACTCTTCTCTCAGCTTTGTCCTTCTGGTCACATGCTCTCAGAAGGCCACTATCTGATAGAACACCTGTATTCTCTCCTGGTCTATTGACCTGCACAGGTTGCATACACATTCCTGCCACTTGTTGGTGATAGGTTCCCTTTCTGCATGTAGAAGCCAAGCGCACACACACACACACACACACACACACACACACACACACACGTGGGCCCAAGGAGGCCAGCCCCACACAACATCTCTCACCAAAAATGTGAAAATCTGTTCCAGTGCTCCCTCCCCTCCTGCTCACACGCAGGCGACTGACACACGTCCCTGTCAACCAGCTTGTTCTCTTTGCATCACAGCAGGATTTCTGTTAGCACTAATGTGCCTGGAGAGTCTCCCCACCTGGCCTTCCCATGGCTTTTCAATCCATTGATCTGTGGTAGCTCTGGCTAGCACAGCTCTTCACCCCAAGGAGGACACACTTGCAGTTCCCACCAACGGCCTATGCTGCGAGAACATCCAGGCTGCTAACGGCTATGTGTACATGTGGTGTTGTGCAGGTCAAGCAGGATCCCAGGGTGTTACCTTCTATGTGGATACACACAGCCCACCTATTCCAGTCACTATGCCCCAACACTATATGACACCTCTCAGGAATTGCTAGGTATTAAGGTTTTATTTTATGAATCCAAAAGCCTGAATGTGAATGAGAATCATTTCATGCAAATATCACTGCTTAAAAATTACTTACAGAGCTAAATAATCATCTTGTAAGACCATCACATTTTCACGGATTATAGTTGAGTAAACAGTCCATATTGACTTGATTCTCTTTAATAGATACTTCTATAAACAACAATATAAACACATTGTTAGTTCCCTCACCACTGAATGTTCACTGCATCTGTACTTATTTACAAAGACATTAGTACGAAAGGCAAAAACAGTTCTTCATAGATTATTTTTGTTAGGCTTGTATTAGTAAATGTCTAATTCAAATGTATAACTGGTCTATTTTTTAACCCATTTAGGTTGTTATCTTCTATATAAAATACCATGTATAATAACAGCAATGTGATCAGGAGGGTTAAACAAAGGACAGTGCATGGAAGGACCCTGCCTGGCAGAGCTAAGTGCTAACTTTCAGCTGTTACTACCAGTTAATATCACTCATTTCCAATTGTCTGAAAAACAGAGAAATCTAACACAAAAAACAATTAACCTCTCCACTTTAGAACTCTCATGCTAAGTATGTATACTGTCAAAGCCAGAGGGAGAACTGGTGTGTGCTCCGGACACCAAGCCTGACACAAAGTTCCTGCAACTGAGCTCCCAGCAGGTAATACAGCTCCAGGAACACACGAGTCCACTTGCTGAAAATTTAAAAATCAAGTCCTTTTCATTTCTTTACACTAGACATGACAAACAGCCAAATTCAACCCCACACATCTCTAAGGGGTTCCTACTGATCGTCACCCCAGTTAACAAGGCTCCCATCAGTTCCTTGGACACAGGAAGGAGGTGCGGCCCTGAGAGGTTGTGATCACACCCTCTGGATGCCCCAGGAACCGCACGCTCTCCTGGCCATTGGTCTTAGCTTGCTCCATTTCTGATCCAGTTTCCTGCTAACGTGCCTGGGAGAGCAGTAGAAGATGGCTCAAGTGAATGGGCCCCTGCACCCATGTGAGAGACCTGGAAGAAATACATCATTCCTGGCTTTAGCGTGGCCCAGCCTTGGCCACTGTGGTCATCTGGGGAGTTAACCAGTAGGTGGAAGATCTCTCTCTTTCTCTCTTTGTAACTCTGACATTCAAATAAGTAAAGGCATCTTTTTTTTTTTTTAATTCCATCTTCATCCACTTCGGTTTCTGAGACACATCTCACATCACCAGGAATGAAACCCTCTTCCAAATTTCATTCACACTCATCTCCCAGTCCAGTTCTGTGACTGATGAATTTTCTTCTAAAAGTAATGGGCTTGGCCCAGTGCAGGAGCCTAGTGGCTGGGGTCCTCGCCTTGCATGCGCCAGGATCCCATGTGGGCTCCTGTTTGTGTTCCAGCAGCTCCACTTTACATCCATCTTGTGGCCCAGGAGGGCAATAGGAGATGACCCAAGGCCTTGGGGCATTACACCCACATGGGAGACCCGGAGGAGGTTCCTGGCTCCTGGCTTTGAATTGGGTCATTCCCAGCCTTTGCAGCCACTTGGGGAGTGAACCAGTGGGTGAGGGATCTTTCTTTCTGTCTCTCCTTCTCTCTGCAAACCTGCATTTCCAATAAAAAGAAATAAATCTTAAAAAATTAAATAAATAAAAGCAATCAGCTGCTCTGGCCACTCAACAATCAGCCACTGCTATTCACCTAACAGACTACCACTTTGGGAAGACCTGTCACAAATGTTGGCTAGAACACGAAGACAGCAAGAGGAGATTCATTGAAAAGCTATGAAACAAAGCATGGGATCACCTTACCTTTAATAACGGGTACATATCATAGTTGCTGGCATCAGAAACAAGATCGCTGGTTACCAAGTTTACCAAGACTGCACGCCATACTATGATTTCATCTTCTTCAGCAAGGTACTTGGTTAAATCAAGTGCCGTTTCGATGCCAATATAATTGTTTCTGTTTGGTTTAAAAAGCACACACTCAAAAAATCTTCAATTGCTAAATGGTTTGCATACTTTCTCTATGTGGCTTCCATCAGGTATGTGTGTAACTCGGGAAGCTGGCAGAGGTGCCACTGAAGGAAAGATGGAGCCCCAGCAACGGTGCTAGAATCTTCATCTCAATTCCATACATTCAAATGCCTACACACTTGGCAACAGAAGAAATATAGGCCAAATGTTGGATTAACTACTAGGCAAGATACGCATTTGCTATGCTTTCCTGCGGGAACACACTTTCCACCTAAGAATGATTCAATCATTCTGTCTGATGTTCTGACAGTGCGAGGTGGGCACACCAACCACCAACTACAAAACTGCTCTGGCCTGCGACTGAGACTCACGCGTGAGAGGTTGTTACTGAAAAGTCTCAGGAAAAGGCAATGAGCATAATACAGCAGCAAAGCAGGAAAGCATGCGCAGGGAAAACAGTGAGAAGGCAGGAGGAAGATGGAAAAGTGTGGGAAGGCCCCATGGAGGAGGGTCCTTGTAAACAGCAATGAAGGATGCGATGGACCAAGATGGGAAGAGGCAGAGGACGCACCCGGGGTTGAGGCAGAGGAAATGGCTGTGACACACACCAAGCCACCGGAGGCAAGGCTTGCTCTGTGTACAGGGACAGATGGGAGCTGACAGGCAGAGGGGCAGGATCAAGTGTTCAGATTCAGCAGCAAGCGCTTTGGGTATTTAAACAACTGGGGTAATATGATGAAAGTGATTCATAAAATTACATTGCAATAGTGCTTCAGAAAACAGAACGAACTTCGAAAGGTCAAAAAGCTGGAGATGAATGCAGTAGGCAGGCAAAAGATGGTGAGAGATTGGCTCAGTGTGAAAGGACTGCAGGTAGTAAGTCCAATGACCTTGCTCAGAATGGGCCTAGCTGAGCTAGAGGGAGGGAGGAAGGGGGAGGGAGGAGGGGGAGGAGGGAGGAAGGGGAGGAGGGAGGAAGGGGAAGAGGGAGGAGGAGGAGGAGGGGGAGGAGGGAGGAGAGGGTCTCTGACAGGAAGGGAAGACAGAAGGGAGCTAGCCCTAGGGATGCTCACAGCAGGAGAGGCGGAGGCTGAGGACAGCAGCAGGTGGCCCAGCAGGAGGCTCCGGGAGCCGCAGAGTACCCAGGAGTGCGGACACAGATGCCGTTGGGGTCACGCAGTGCGTTAGACTGGGGCTTCTGTGAGCACTGGACAGAAAGAGGTGCAGGTCACTGAGGGGAAATGCAGCACGGAAAAAGAGACAAAATAAGGAGGTATTTACTCTAGATATGACAGGCCAAATAAAGGAATAAACGATATAACTGACTATACAACATTATCTCAGAAAGTTTATGGAAAATTAAATGAAACAATGTTTATTTTGCTGAAAAATTATTTTTGGAAATCCATGCAGCTTCTTTATAACACATATCTCTGTGAACTTTTTGAAGATATCTCATACACTTTAATTTTATTGACTGAAAAATTCTGAACACGTATTAATTTACCTGACTAAATAGTTGGCCATGGAGCTTATATTGAAAAAATGTAATCTACACAAAATTGATGATTCTGCAACCTCATGGCAGCTCCATGGAAACCCTCCCCCTCGGCTGACAGACGGCTCAGTCTCCCCACCGATAGCCCTGTTCCTGGAAGCCCTGTTAGTCCATACTGGCATCCATCTGGGAGCAGAAATGCCCCTCTCTTCCCCCGGCTGTGCCAGCACACCCTGAGGATCCATCTGCAGCCAGGAGGCCATGCCCTTCACACAGTTTTGAAGGCACTCGCTAAAAGCGTGAGAAAGAACGTATACTCACTTGGATAAGGAAAAGGCATCATCAATCAGCTGCAGCCTGTGAACCACAGGAATCGCCTGGAGGATTTGAGCCACGTACGTGCAGGAAAAGAAGAGAACATTTTTGGGATTAAAACCTTGAAAATAACAATAACAGCTCAAACATCAGTGCTGCCCACAAAGCACTTGCACATGAACCGTCTCATGTGTGAGAGCAGGCCCCACAGGCCATTCAGCTCACATCTGCTGTGGATACAGTCTCCCTGGACATCAATCACAAGGCTTACACACGCAGGAGGCTCGCCAGCACACTCCCAGAACATGCCACGCTGAAACTAAAAACAGCAACCAGACCCCTGGGCCTCCTCCGAAGCCCAGCAGACGTTCCATGCGTGACAATGGCCAGAGCGAGAGAGGCCCTCACAGGAACACGGAGGGGCTTCACCAATGTCCATGGAAGAAGATGCTTACGAATAAACAATTACACATCACTTCACAACTTCTTGCACCTGAAGAAACTTACAGTGTAAGCTTCATTTTTTCATAATTTTTGCAGTGTTACTTAGCACTATTTCAGTAATGCTGGGGAAGTCTCTTAAGTAGTATCTGACATCTGAGGACTTCATCACTGCGACTCAGCATCACCCACAGAGAAATGGGGGGACAGCGCCAGCCTTGCTCTGCAGACAGCTGTTCAACTGGCATTGCCAGGCGCGAGGCAGCTCATGTCGGCCCTTCACGGCGCCAGCAGTGTGCAAGACCAGCCTCCGGAATCCTCACTCCGCCAGCTGCCTTCCAGGACCCAGCCAGCCGCCCCGCACCCCCTTGGTGGCCCTTGCATTCCTCTTGGCAGCAATCAACCCACATTTTCCACGTCGCCATCACTAGTGACCATGCTCTAGCGCACCTGTTGTGTTATGGAAATAATTTACCTGCTCTTCTCAAAAAGTGAGTCTTACAAGTGGCCTCAATAAATCACTGACACGGTATGGCTCAGAGTGCACTTAGCAACTAGTAAATACTCAGCCACTCGGAAAGAGCCTGAGGAGAAGACAGCACGGCAAGGGCCCAGGAGGTGTTTTGTTCAAAATGTCAGTAGGTTGGACCCGGCGCCGTGGCCTAGCAGCTAAAGTCCTCGCCTTGAACGCCCCGGGATCCCATATGGGCACCGGTTCTAATCCCGGCAGCCCCACTTTCCATCCAGCTCCCTGCCTGTGGCCTGGGAAAGCAGTCGAGGACGGCCCAAAGCCTTGGGATCCTGCACCCGCGTGGGAGACCCGGAAGAGGTTCCTGGTTCCCGGCTTCGGATTGGTGCAGCACTGGGGAGTAAACCATCGGACAGATGATTTTCCTCTCTGTCTCTCCTCCTCTCTGTGTATCTGACTTTGTAATAAAAATAAATAAATCTTAAAAAAAAAAAAAGAAAGAAAAATGTCAATAGGTTTTTGAAGACATCACTGGCCACACACTGCACACAACTCGGGTGATCTGGCCTACAAGACTCCGCAAGACCGAACTGCACGGGGAGTTTCATTGTAGTGTCTGAGCAGCCTGAGGAAGAGGAGCTTAGGGTGCCTTGACGTACGCCAAGGGCCCTCATAAAATAGAATCTATGATTACATTTCCATTTAAAGTGGATAAATGGAAGCAGAACATTTAAGCAATTTGCCCAAGAAAAACAAAACTTATGATTAATAGGGAAATCTCTTCTGCTTCTTACCTGGAAGGTAAGATTGCATGGGGACAGCAGGACTGGCATGAAGAAGCACAGTGCTCGCAGCCCAAATCCTCCCTCGGAAGCAGCTCTCCAGGCCGGGGGCAGCGGGGGCAGTGGGGGCAGCGGGGGCAGCGGGGTGGGGGGGCTCACCCCAGCAGGCCGGCTGGCCCCAGCGGCCAGAGCCTGCTCTGAAAAATGTCTACTGACCAAGATCAAAGACAACCTTACCTTGGGATCTGTTTCAAGCTGTTGTTGTAATTTCTTCCAACCCAAGTTATCATAATTAACTCTGTAATATCCAGTCATGTTTGAATTTAAAATCACCCAGTCATGGTCAGAATCTGTAACTTGCATTTCAGGGAACACTTCTACAAAGAGATGTAGAAATAGTTTTAAATGGTACATTTTTTAAAAAGAGAGAGATTCAGCATTTATACTCTACATGGTTAATGATTAATGCTAAACAATAAGCAAAAAAAAAAAAAACTAAAAACAATTATGAGAATTCTAGGGCAGGAACAGGAGTTGGCCCAGTAGTTAGGACAAGTGGGGGCATCTCACGGGGAAGAGTTTTCGGGGCTCCCGACTCCAGCTTCCTGCCAGGGCAACTGGGAACAAGGCTTCATTCCTGACTCAAGCCCAACCTGAGCCACTGCACGCATTAGGGAGTAAGAACCAGCACATGAGCTTCTTCTAGCTTTCTCTCTCTCTCTCCCTCTCCCCCTTCAAAGAAATAAAACATTTTAACAAATTGGGGCCACCATTATAGTGCAGTGGGTGAAGCTGGCGCCTCAGATCCCACATGCGTCCCAGTTCACTCTGGCCGGTTCCACTCGCGAGCCAGCTCTGGCTGCGACACGGTCCTCCCACAGCAGAGGCGTTTGGGTTTGGGGAGTAAAGCAGCAGGTGGAAGATTCTCTCTCTCCTTCCTCCTTCCCTCCCTCCCTCCTTCCCTCCTTCCTTCTTCCCTCCCTCCCTCCTTCCCTCCTTCCTGGTAACTCTACCTTTCAAATAAATCAATCGATCTTTAAAATATGCATATATCTTTTTAAATTCTACACATATTTTTAATTTTAGGATATAGTTCATAAGCTCTGGGTTTTCCCCTCCCCCTCCTCAAGTCCCCTTCCCACATTGATTTCTCCTAAATTATTACAACAGTATAGTTTATTTTAGATTTAAAAAGAATTCTAAAATGTATAGCTCTAAAGTGTATATATTTTCATATATAATGTATTTTCGTTTTAAATTTTTCTTAAGAGCCTCATGTTCAACAAGAATGACACATTTTAGTTTTAACTGAAGCAACTTTCCAAAAGCTAAACATTACAACCTGTTATTCATTGCCTTTATATATGCATATATGTGAAGATGGCTTTTAAAATTTGTTACTTACTGCTGCTTTTATCTAGCCAGACTAAAGATTGTGCAGTTCCATTTTTTATCCAAAGAATAGGAATAATCCACGTGTCACTTATTGGAAGAAAATAAAACATTTAGTTAATTTCCACACATAACATGCATGCTGAGTCAACATTACAGAGGTGACACAAGAGCAGAAAGCCCTGGGGCCCCTGACCGCAGCCCCACTCCCGGGGCCACACGCTGCTGGGGGCCGGGGTTACCAGGGCTACTGGCCCAAGCCTGCCTCCCGCCAGGCCTGCCTCTCGCTGCATCGTAAGGATCTTCATCTCAGTACATGTCATACTGTCTTCTAACTGAAATCTCCCAGGCCTGTTTACGTCTAATTAGTCACACAACACTCGGTCAGAGGCCGCAGACGGGCCTGAGCTCATCCATGCCCACAGGATGGAAGTCATTTCAGGAGCAGGAGCTTGACAAAGACTTCAAAAATACTTTCCAGCCTTAAGCTTTCTCCCTACCAGGAAAGCATCCCACAGGAGCTGGCTGGGACGTCGGTATTTATTGAATGTCTGTGCTCTCTCCACATTGTGCATGTAACCTGGAGCAAAGAGCTGACCACAGCGGCACATTAGCCACAGGAAGAGGCCCGCCACCCACAGCTTGCACGGCGCCTCCAGTCTTGCACCGACTCCTGCAAGCCGCGGTTCTCAGAGACTGTCAAGTGTGGGTCCATGCTTCCGTGCACAGCTAAGACACAGCTTCATCCCCACTTCACAGGGCGTTACAGGGAGAAGGGAACTTGGAGTCTCCTCTCTCCCCTCCTGAAGGTTCTACATAAACAGGAGGACTGACTGTAAATTTTGGCAACGTCACTTGCAGATTTATTGCTCATTTGTGCTTTGCCTTAAATGCAATGAACAGCAGAAAATTATCTAATAATTGAAGAAATGGAAGGAGAACGTGAGGAAGGAACCCACCATTCCACTTTAATAGCACTCTCCTGGGATGCACGCTACCAGATTACTCTTATAAAAAGGTGACTCAAACTCAGCAAATTTGTTGAATCATGGTGAGGTCAGTATGTGAACCAGGGTCTGACTCAATCTGCTTTGGCTTCAAACACACTCCCACATACCCACATGTGCACGCACACATCCTCATGCTCACAGACACATGCACACACTGCATGTTCACAGGCACACACAGACATGCACACCCCATGCTCACCTCACAGAACTCCCCAAGGACACGGGGCTCTGCCTTCCTGCCTGTCTTACAGTCCTGAAAGCTTATTACTCCTGCCAGAGGGCCAGAGCGGGATTCTTCGGTTGCTCATGAACTGGAACCCAAGGCAGTGGAGAGTGGCACTGCCTTGAACCCCAACTGAAGGCCGCAGGCCCAGCTCAGTATCAGCAGCTTCCCTGCCACCCGCTTAGCCCAAGGTGACGGTCCTGTGGGATCCCTTTGTAAACGGGTGTGTGCCTGGCAAGGGTCCTGCTCCTTGACCACCTCCAACAGAGCCCCACCCAAGGAAGGAGAGTGAGGTAGAGGGCAGAACCACTTACTTATGGGTGACAAGGGTCTGAACCGGGCCCAGATAAAACGGCTCCTGTCGCACAACGCCCGTGGATACATTTAAAGTGACAACTGGAAAACCACTCCGGTGTGTCCAGCTGTCCATTATGCTTTTCACTGTCATTGGCAAGACAACTGTACTCTGGTCCTCTATGGCCTGTTTTTTTTTTTTTTAACAAATAATCACAAAACCAGATAGGGTTAGCAGTGAAACCTGTTGAAGCAGCAGTCTCCTAACAGAAGCTCTGTTTCTGACCCACTCGTGTGCCCTGGCGGGCGACACTTGGGGCAGATGACAGCGAGTGGTGAACTCTGTCCACACACACCTCTGGAGTCCACGCCTGCACTCACTGGATGCATGTTTACAATCTCCTGTTCTGAGCCTTGGGATCCACCGCAGCCCTCCCACAAAGGGGGCACCATGTCCGGGGCAAGGGCTCCCCAGGAACCAACGCTCGCCACAGCCTCCTGCCCTGACTATCTGGCATCCTCCCTGGCATCGAACACAGAGAACAGGAAAGTTACCATTTGGAAATGTCTCCACAAATCATCTTGCTCAGCATTCGAGTAAGAAAAAGCCTTCAGATAGGTCTATAAAAACAGAAAAGATAAGGTTAGGGAAGAAGTCAAAGCAATGGATGTGGCCAAGCTGACTGACAACAGCTTTTTTTTTCTTTTTTGCCAACTCACCCTGAGGGCTGTGATAGAGACACTCACCCTGAGGGCTGTGATAGAGACACTCACCCTGAGGGCTGTGATAGAGACACTCACCCTGAGGGCTGTGATAGAGACACTCACCCTGAGGGCTGTGACAAAGACACTCACCCTGAGGGCTGTGATAGAGACACTCACCCTGAGGGCTGTGATAGAGACACTCACCCTGAGGGCTGTGATAAAGACAGGCTCATCCAGGAAACTGTGGAGCATTCTGGCCAGAGACGCTCCCTAGGGACACAAAGCAGCCGTTATCAGCACCCCTGGGCGCACTTGGAGCTTTCTCCATCCAGTTGGAAGCTGAATGCACATTGCCATCCTCAGAATCTGCACGAGGCGACTGCCCACGAGCACAGAGGGAACCCTGATGGTCCTTACCTTGTGGTACGTGAACAGATCAAAGAGTTCATTGATTTCACTCGTGTCTGTGAAATTCCCCACTCTCGAGGACACAGCTCTGGACACCAAGGCGTGATCTTCTCCAAGAATAATGTGTAAAATGTTGGCTAAAAATATCTCATTCTACAAAGGAGAACATGGAGGCGTCAGTGGTCCTAGAAGAGCTTAAAAACCTGCTGCTGGGCCTGACAGCGTGGCCTAGTGGCTTAAGTCCTCGCCTTGAACGTGCTGGATCCCATATGGGAACCGGTTCTAATTCTGGTGGCCCCATTTCCCATCCAGCTCCCTGCTTGCAACCTGGGAAAGCAGTTGAGGACAGCCCAAAGCTTTGGGACCCTGCACCCGTGTGGGAGACCCAGAAGAGGTTCCTGGTTCCCGGCTTTGGATTGGCACAGCACCAGCTGTTGTGCTCACTTGGGGTGTGAATCATTGAACGGAAGATCTTCCTCTCTGTCTCTCCTCCTCTCTGTATATCTGACTTTGCAATAAAAATAAATAAATCTTAAAAAAAAAAAAAAGCCTGCTGCTCAAGTAGCCAGAGCGCACAGCAGAGAGACATCCATGACTGCAGCGTTGAGGACAAGGCAGGATTCCTGGAGCAACAAAGCTGTAGGACACTGGCTCATTTCATACCTTAATCACCACCAGAAGGCAGAGAGTCAGAGAGGAACGGGAAAGAGAGAAGAGAGAGAGAGATCTCCCATGCGCTGGTTCACTGCCCAAATGTCTGCAGCAGCCAAGACTAGCCCAATCAGAGCCAAAGCCAGACTGAAAGTGGAGCAGCTGGGAATCAAACTGATGCCCTTACAGGACCTGGAGTCACAGGCAGTTAACCCACCACAATAACCCTCATTTTGTATTTCTTAGTTTGATTTTTTAAAAAGTCATTTATATAAGCTAGTGTGCTTTCCAAAAGTCACCTAGATTTCTCCTAGAAAGGTCCTGGCCTCTGGCAAGGCCTCCAGGAGACAGCACGTCTAAGGGGTTGGAATCCTCTAGAATTTTATTTGTAATTTTATTAGTGACTCCTTAACATTGATAAATCTCTCATGAGGACATGAACAGACCAAAAGCATGCCATATTTATAGATTCACAAGCCCACAAACATCATTTATAACTGGGAATAAATTCAAAGACGGGATACCTCAGTCAATGGTGTCTGCATTATGGAAAGGGAATTTATCACATTGTAATGAGGACCACAGAGCTGTTCAAATGACCAGGTCCGTCTCTCCAAGGATGAGCCTCCCTCCCTCTCTAAGGATAAGCCTCCCTCTCCTCCCTCCCCTCTGACACAGGGCGGGGTAGTTGTTTGCTTGAAGGAAACCCCACCAAAAGCCAGAGAGGGGCTGGGCTGCCCACGCCAAGATTCAGGCCCTCCGCACCACTGCGGGTGGGCAGGGGTGAGCGCTGGGACACCTCTGTGCTGCAGTGCCTCATTACTGAAATGGCTGCACATGCACTTAGTGTCAGCCCACTGGGCAGGCACCATGTACTGCTGGGACACCGACTGCCAAGCCAGCACTCGCTTGCTTACAGGGTCTACTCGGCCTCATCCAGAGCTCAGGAAAACAGCCCAACAGTGGTTAGCCCTTGTGGAACACACTCTGTCCGCCATTCCCCGTGCTCTGAACTTCCCGCAGCAAGGACACTGTTGCCCCAAACCTGCTAGTTCCTCTGTAAAGAAGCTCTAACCGTAGGGGACCAGCATTTCAAATAGTAACAAGCTCACTCATGGGTGAGGGCGGAGACAGGAGAGGAGGTCACACACCCAGCTCCAGGAACAGTGGCAGGTGACAAGAGGAAGAAGTGGGAAGGAATGGCTGGAGGACCAGAGAGGAGTGAGGACCAGGAGACGTGAGCCCAGAAGGACCCGCACACTGCCAAGGAACTGAGCTGCACACCAAAAGGTAACATTAAACATGAACATCTAACTACCTAATTACTCTAAATAAATATCACAGTTATGGCCTACAGTCGAAATAGCCAGATCTGCAGAACCAGGACTTCATTTTTCAGCATGTCACTCATTCCTCAAATCAGACCAAACACACCAGCCAGAGTACTTAGTCACAGAAAGCACATTATTCATCACTCTATCTGGTGTTCAGCTTAGTCCAGGCAACAGCAAAAGCAGCCCAAAGCCTGCTGACAGGGCAAGATTATACACCGACACCTTCTCGGGATGCTGGGTGAGGAAACGCGGGCAGCTATCAAATAATCCTGTTTTCAAAAAGGACTCGGGCAGTTGCAGAAATGCTCACAATAGAGCATGAAATGCACATATTTCTATGCAATTCCCACTTTCAAAACTGTTGACAACAGGGAAGGGATCTGGAATAAAAAATTTAAAAATAAATGCACCATCTCTGAAGTGCTTGGGGTTCCCACAGTTTTCCTAACTTTTTTCTGAATTTTACATATTTTAACCATAAATAAACACGCATTACTTTTATATAAGGAAAAAACATTATACTTACTCCTGGGAGTTGGGGGTTGAGGTAGTTAATCACTCCAAGTTCCAAATAAGATGCAAAGCCCTCACTGAGCCAGAGATTGTTCCACCAATCCATGGTAACCAAGTTTCCAAACCACTTTCGGAGATGGGAGAAAAAAGAAAGCACTCTTAAATTTAAGTTAGATGTGTTGTAATTGTATGTTAAGTAAACGTACAATCAAAAGACAGAATTAAACTTGCACTGCCTTCAATAATAAAATGTAAAGATGATGACTCTGCAAAACATCCTGTCGCTTTAACATGTGGAGACACTACAAATACATCCCTGTGGAACAACCGTCTCATGTGCAGTGACTGGAAGTGTGGGCTCAGGCAGAGCCTCTCTCCACTCCCCCTTGCCGACCACTGAGCACCTGCCGGCTCCAGCTCCTCGCATTCTACATATGCTACAACAGGACTCTGCTGGGAGCGTGCAGGCTCTAAGAACACAGCTGGACTTGGCCTGTGCAGAAATTGCTCAAGCCTTCCTTTGTTCCATTACACGGTCCAGCTGTAATTACTTCTAGCTGAGCTTAAGAGGTGGAAAAAGTGTCAAATGGTTGATATACAGAATTAGGAAAGAAAACTGCAGTAACTCCTAAAACCAATAAGTCTGTGCCCTGGTATTCAATCAAAACCAAATAAGTCTGTGCCCTGGTATTCAATCAAGTTCTTGAAGCCACTGTGCTGGCCTAATAGTTGGCAGCCTGTGTTCCAAAACAACACACGGTTGACACTCGGGGTGACAGGTGAATGTGTAGTCAGGCTAGAGTAGGAAATGATACTTCACATGACAGGTGAAGTGTGGCTGTGTGTGTGCTCTGTGTACTTTGGCTTAACCCAACCCTGGCCCACTGCTCCTCCCACGAGGCCTCTAGGCCACCAGCCTCTGGTCACACACATCCTCCCTTCCCTCACTACTCTGCTTTTCTGGGGCAGGACACTGCCAGACGCCTTCCTGAGAGAGAAGGAGGAACATTTTACCACGTGCCTGGTGTCCGATCTCATGGGAGACGATGTAGGTGATCATAGCCTTTCTCTCTGTCAGATGGTCACTGGGCCGCAGCAACAACAGAGATTCATCAAACATCATGAGGCCCCAGTTTTCCATCGCATGCTTGTCAAAAACAGGCAAGGCAATTAAATCTAAGTGGATTTAAATGGGGGAAAAATGAAATCATCTCTTCTAAAAACAACATGGGGTTTCTGGACATAAATTATCTCAAAAATTAAATCATAAACCTAGGAAAAACAAAAGGGAACATTTATAACCAAAGGGATAGGAAGACTGTTCAAAGATAAATATCAAAGACAGCCACCAGGAAATAAACTGTGCAGGCAATACAAGAGTCAAATACCTCCATGAAAGGAATTGCATCCAAAATACACAAAGAACACTTACAAGTCAACAGAAAGGAAACAAGCAATGTCATCACAAAACGGGCAGAGATCCGCACTGATGCCTTGGTAGAAAATGTACAGAAATGGCAGACAAAGACGCCCAGCATTATCAGACACTGCTGATGCTGTCAGAATGGCAAACTCAGACCTGCCAACACCAAGTGCTGACAAGGAGGGGAGGGGAGGCCAGAACAGGGCAGCAAAAGGGGAGGGGAGGGGACAGAAAGGGAGGGAAAGGAAAGAGGAGGGAAGAGGAGAGAGGAGAGGAAGAAGGGTAGGGAAGGAGAGGAAATGGGAGGGAAAGGGAGGGGAGAGGAGAGAGGGAGGAGAAGGGGAAGAAGAAGGGGAAGAAAGAGGAAGACGAAGGGAGGGGAAGGGAAGGGAAAGGAAGGGAAAGGGAAGGGAAAGGGAGGGGAAGGGAAGAAGAGGGGAGGGGAAGGAAGTGGAATATCCACCTGCTCACCTCATGCCTTGTCCCCACATCCTCCCCGCAGCATGGCCCCTCGATCCTCCACCTGCTCACCTCATGCCTTGTCCCCACACCCTCCCCGCAGCATGGCCCCTCGATCCTCCACCTGCTCACCTCATGCCTTGTCCCCACATCCTCCCCGCAGCATGGCCCCTCGATCCTCCACCTGCTCACCTCATGCCTTGTCCCCACACCCTCCCCCCAGCATGGCCCCTCGATCCTCTACCTGCTCACCTCATGCTTTGTCCCCACATCCTCCCAATCAGAATAGCTCATCTGTCCCCACCTGCTCACCTCATGCCTTGTCCCCACATCCTCCCCGCAGCCACTGATCTCTTTCCTCTTACAGAAGGTTCCAGACGGATTTAGCATTAGAACCACACAGCATGTGACATTTCCAGAAAGGCTTCCGTTCTTGGCCTCCAACGACCACCATGACATATTTCACTTCTATAAGATCATAATCTTAAAAGCATGTTCATGTCCAATGTGCCATTTCAAAACTTCTGAGTCTTAAATACCTACCTATACTCCTAAAAGCATTTCACCACTCTTCCAAAACTCACACTGACCTAAGGAGGATCTAACTCTTTTTGGTATTTCGATACTTCAGTTTACTTCTGATTTTCAACTATGGATTAAAATGACTCTAACAGTGGGAGGGGGGAAAAAAGTACTGTCCACATGATTCACATTACCTTGGGTTCCAAAGTTAAGAATTCACTGAGCAAGTTACAAGAGGGTAAGCTAAAGGAATATTGAGGAGGAAATAAAGCAAACAGCTTTCCAAATCACGCTGGTAGAGGAGGAGACTTGTATATGTGGGAAATGCTGCTGGAGAAGGCATTTGTTGTTTTCCATTTGTTCCATCAGTGGCTCAAGCACAGAGTGAAAGTAATTATGAATCACTCATCCCCCTTCTCCCAAAGATCCAGGGACAAGGGTCTCTGTTTTGTTGGTCTGCCAGCAATCACAAGAAGTTCTGGCTGAGCCTCCTGCAGGAGTGCACAGGGCTGGATGAGGCGCCAGGAAGGATGGGGAGGACTTCAATTTCAGAGAACGTGAGGGAGAACCATGAGCAGTGTGTAAGGACAGCACTGGCCCACAGGATGGAGCGTGTGCTGCAAGGGACCTGGGGCCAGAGATGCCTCCAGACCTCCATCCCCCATCCTTAATAACCACAACCAAACGTTCCTGGCTCGGACAAAGGTCATCTGTGGCGCCTCCAGCCCCAGAGCAACAGCAACAGCTGAGACTCCAGGGCTGAATTTTGGCTGTCTTGACTCCTAGAGGACTGGTGTTCCTCCAGGCCCACTTCCCTTTGCTGGAAAGCTGGAGTTGCAGAGGCCCTGGCTTCCTGGCACCCTGGAGGCCCGAGCTCTCAAACATGTGCTGCTCATCTCCTCCTCTGCCTGCCAGTCCAGGCAGAGCGCACTGCTTCTGAGTCTTCAGGGGACATCTCAGAGGAACAAACAAGATGTCCAGATGCCCAGTGTAGAGGGACTTGTGCATTCTATACAGAAACAGGGGAGATGATGGATGTTCATGTCTTCTGAAGGAACTCACGATATTCACAAACGATTCCAATTCTACACAAGGCAAACCCAAATCCTAATTCAACGGCTGACGACTAAAGAATACTTCAAAGACACAAGAACAGCAGGGCTCCCACAGGGACCTGGAATGACACACAAGCCACTAAGGAGATGCAGGGCACAGCACCACTTGCATGTGTGCATGACCAGCAGCGAGGCTAGAGCTTAGCAGGGAGGGCAGGGTCTGCAGGAAGGAAGGCTACACTGAGTCCCCAGCAGGGACGTGTAGCTTGGGAGTTCCTGGACCCACACTGGGCTTGTGCACTCTGGGGACTTGGGGGTGTGGGCTTACAGTGGTCTGGGGATCGCACAGTTGGGAGTGAGTGGGGACTCAAGGGTTCATGTTCAGGTGAGGAATGACTATTAGGGACTTCCATAGTCAAGGCCACTGAGGTAAGTGGGGGCTTAGACTGAATGATTTGAAGGGATAAATGGGAGGACCTTTAAGGGTCAGACTTGAAGCACCAGCACACATGGGAGACCTGAGCTGGGATAGTTAGCACCTACCACCACTGACCACCACTCCCTGGCACACACTAAAGCTAGGACTATGTGGTGGGGTTAGGTTACAGTACTCACCAAGAGATTCAGAACAGGAGACTGGAAATGTTAGGCTGACCCATGACACCAACCAGAATGTGAAAGAATCAGACCTGGGGCAGAATCTGTCAAGGGGTACGTGGGTTCACCACTGTGGAAATATAATCTCCACTGGCATGTTCAAGATCTGTGACCGGGAACAGGCCTGGTGGAGGAGCTAAGCAGACACCCAGCTGGGTTGGGGTTCCCACTGATGAACATGAGAGCCAGAAGAGGGGCAGGGTTCTGGGCTGGACATGGCTGCAGTCTCCCTCAGCATGGGTGTAGACTGGGACTGGGGAGCACCAGACTGGGCCAGGTTCCAGCGCCCAGTGGTACTTATAAGAGCCAGGGTGGGTGTTGAACAAGGTGGGCTAGGTCTCAGCTCCCACTGAGCCACGTGAGAGCTGTGTCTGGGCATGGGCCAGGTATGGCTGGGCTGTAACTACCAAGAGTATCAACCAGAATGGGTGTGGCCAGCTGGATAAGGACACTGTTCCTGCCAGGACAAGAGGCGGACAAAGTCAACTTGGGCCAAGGAGCCACTGGTGTGCACGAGAGCTGCTGCTGGGAGGAGACCTGACAGAGGAGCTTAGGGAACTCCTCTGTCAGGACACAGTGCCTGCAGATGAGTGCAAGAACCAAGGCAAAGAGCAGCCCAGGCCAGGCCAGGTTACTGTACCCACCAGCACACATGCGAGTCAGGTCTGGGGCTGGGCCAGCCTGGGGCAATTCATAGCATTCACTGGCAGATCTGAGAACCAGGACAGAGTGTGGGATTGGAGGTCAGACCACATTCCACATTAGGGCCAGGACTAGGGGCTGGCTGGGCCAGGCTAGGATACAAAACCCACCAGCAAGAGCTGGAACTGGGAGTGAACTAGAAAAACCAGGCTGCAGTACATGCTGGTTGATGCTGGACTGAAGCAAGCCATGCCAGTCTGGGAGCAGTGGATGCCAGGTCGGTGAGCCTTGGGGGCAGGGGACCAGGTGGGGCCTAGTCACCCAGCCTGGATCCTTGGGCCCAGCTGCATGGTGGGTGCAGGATCCATGAATCCCAGGGGTAGGGAGTTCTGAGGGGTCTGGGTCGCCTGACCCAGGTCCTTAGGCCCTCCTGCTAAAACTCATCCTCCTCACTGGAAGAATCCTAGCAGTGACAGCAGGCCGGATACACATGGAGGATGCAGCAGCCCACTGGGCCTGCAGAAGACAAATGGTATCATAGCAGAGGAAGGAGAACAGAACTGGACAACTACCCCAGCCAAAGGAGACAGCAAAAAATATGGTTGAATGGAGACTAAGTTCGACTATATCAGCCAATGGGCATTGGAAAGGCTTCCTCGCTGATGAGAGCTACGACATCTCAGAACTATCAAAACCACCTGGGCAAAACCCTTGGAATACGCACCGCATCAGGACCCCGGGTTGATATCGGTTGCTGCTCCCCATCCCCAGGTACTGAGGCAGTTGGGAGGTTGGGAATGGTCTCTCCTCTCATTTCCTCCCTTCCCACAGAAACAACAAGAAATAGAAAACTTGGAAGCAATGATCATGCCTACTTTTCTCTAACCCTCAATCCTTCGCACCCTCATCAGTTATGTAAACTTCATCAAAAATAAAAAATGTTAAATAAAAACAAAACAACAAAACGAAAATGATCATGGTCATCAAAACACATTTTCCTTTCAATTCCACTTTCCACAAACTTTTGATGTATTGCGGATGATGCGTGATCTAACAGTGAGCGGCCAGGAGTCCAGTTCCAATGCGGCAGCCACATGGCCACAACTGGTGAGCCCATCGGTGAGCCTAAGACCTCCACCCAGCATTCCCGTCCCCACCACAGGAGACCAGCTGCCCTGCGAGGGAAGACCTCACCTGTTTTGGGAAGAGGATAACTGATATTAAACAAATCCTCCAGAAAAGAGAAGATGGGCCCGGTGATGTTCAAGGCAAAGTCTGCATATCCGTCTGTGATGGCTTCCTTCCGCGCCCAGATGCGTACCTGAACCCAAACAGCATGGCGGTGGTTAGGAAGAGCAAGGCGCTCTGGACAGCCTGCCCTCACGGCTTCAACAGCAGCTGCACAGGAAAATGTTGACATGGGAACGTATGCTGAAAGAACCTGGAGGACCACACACTAAGATACCATTGGGGCTGTCCTCAGAAGGCTCCCATTTCAAGTTCTACCAACCACAGGTAGAACGCTGAGACAAAGTAATCCTTGGAATGGTCCACACCACCACCTGTCCCCAGGGAATGTACAGAGTCTGGGTGAAAATGCACTTGGAACTCCGACTTCCTTTCTCAAGACCTATTTCTAACAAGCTGAAACGCAACTATGCCCTCAGGAGTCAGATGCTTCTACATGGGGCTGGTGCTGCAGCAGAGTAGGCTATTCCACCACGTGCAAAGCCAGCATACTGTATCAAGCAGGCAGTCTGCATCCCAACCTCTCTGCTTCTGATCCATCTCACTGCTAAAGTTCCTGGGAAAGCAGGAGAAGACGCCCCTTCCACCCACATGCGATTGCTGGTCTATGTTCCAAGCTCCTGGTTTCAGCCTGCCCCAGTCCTGGTGGCCAGGCCTTTAGGGAGTGAACACAAAGCTGGAAGTCAGTCTCTCTCTAAAGAAGTAGTATAGTACAGACTCAGCAAATGGGAATCACAAACACTTTTAAGTGGTTTAATAATTAGGACAACAATAGTCCCTCTATATTTCCAATAATTCAAATGAGGTCAATTCCCTTTGTTTAAAATCGTGAAGTTTTAAGTTTTTAAAGCTGATGCAGCGAGTGCATTACACTCGGTTAATTCTGTTGCCAATTCTTGGTTAATTCTCAGTTAATCTGTTCCTTCTTGCAATTCAGCAGGAAGAAAGGAGCCTGCCCCGCTCTGTCAGCTGTATGGAACTGTGCTTCTGGCAGGGCACTGGGAAGGTGATCTGTATGATTGACAGGCTACTGGTTAACAGCCATTGTTATCGTCAACAAAAGCATTTTACACCCTACAACACCATCTAAGTGATTTGTGACAGAATGGCCAGTGTTAATGCTAAAAACATAGTGAGAGTGTGAGGTGACAGAACCAAAACATGGGTCCTGATGCAAGAGCTGTGCCATTAACCAAAAAGGAGCTCTCGGGTGGGCAGGCAAGGTCAGCAGGGCAGGCTGCCACTCGGGGGAGTGTGTGACTTCAGTCCTGGCCACTTTGCATCCAATCCACTTCCTGCTCATGATGGCCCAAGTCCTGGGGCTCCCCAAATCCATGTGGGAAATCCAGGTAAGATTCCAGGCTCCTGCCTTCAGCCTTGCCCAGCCTGGTTGTGGGAGGGCACTTGGGGAGTGAACAAGCATTTGAAGGATCTCTCCCTCTCCTCTCTCTTCTCTCCTCTCTCCTCTCCTCTCTTCTCTCTTCTCTCTTTTCTCTTCTCTCTCTCTCTCTTCCTCCTCTTCTTTCCCTCCTTCTGTCTCTGAAACTCTTTCTTTCAAATGGATGAAAACAAATCAATATTATAATGAGAGCTCTTCTGGGAAACCCTGGAGAAAACCGAAGGAAAGCAATCTTAGATCTGTACACTCTAAGGATACACGCCCTGAAAATGTGTCTTGAATTCTGAGTTACACTAGGCTTCAGGAATGCCCTGCCTTCACAAAGGGCGATCACCTGTTTCTGGGGTTCATGCCAGGACTTGTCAATGCTCTCAGCCTTCCTCGGCTGCAGGGGTTCCTCACCCTGGGCAGGAGGGGCCTGGCATTTGGCCCTAGCTCTCCATCCCCTTCCTCCCAGCCACCCTGCCTGCCCCTCAGGTTCTAACTTGAGACCACTCAGGCAGCCTCCTCTCCACAGGCCACACTCCCCCAGAGGAGACAGGCACACATGTGTACCTGTTTCCATTTGCCAGGCTCCTCCCAGAGATGACCGCTCCGGCAGCCACAGGTGAGGTCAGTCACAGGACTTCAGGCTCACGGGCGGCTGGGTGGTCCCCGGCAGGACAGCTAGAAGCCAGGCCAACAAGGACCACTGTGGAGATGTTGGCCCTCGTCCATCCCTGGCAGAGCCCAGGTGTGCTGGTTCTGTCCCAAGTCCCTCCTTTCCACAACCACCCTGGTCTGTTTACCACAGGCCTTCTTAGCTACACGTGGACCAAGCACCAGCTTCTCCAGGTCTGCGTCTCTCACCACATGAGCACTTTGGGGCCTGGCCGGATCCTGCAGCCAGCCTGCACTTTGGTTTCCCTCTAGAGAAATCAGTGAACTTGTTCACCTTGCAGGGCTGGCCGGCAGCCCAACACAGGCCTGGCCGGCAGCCCAACACAGGCCTGCACTGGCAAGCCCCGCTGGCATTGGAGCTTTCTGGTGGGTGTGCACTTCTGCAGGCACGCTGTTTCCTCTGCCTGCAGGGCAGCTGGAGGTCCTCTAGGAAGAGACCATAGGCCATGGCAGCCCTGCCCCGAGACAGGATGACATGGACCGCTGTGCAGCCTCCTGCTGCTGTGTGCTTCTACTGCTAGGCCCACGGCCATTCTGACTCCCCAGCTGAGGCTGAGTGAGCCCCAAAACCTGAGCCTCCTGGGGTGGGAGGGGGGCTGAGGGCGGATTCACAGGGTTCAAAGTGGCCTGGAAGAGCAGGTAGGAAGGGTGGCCTTTCGGAGTCCCCTTAGCGTACAACAGGAATCCTCCTGTCCCCTTCAGCAAGAACACCCTGAAAGCTTTCAAAGGACATAGGAGAGAGAATGCTGGGGACACAGGTGAGGCCCCTCAGTGGGGAAGGCCCCTTCTCCAAAGCCATACCCTCACTTACCTCCTTCCCCCGCTCGGTCTGGCTGACTGAGTCAAAGTCACAGATGGCAAAGGCGACCACATAGGTTGGCATGCGGGGCGAGGTGTGGAAGGTCGTGACCGTCCACTTGGTGCCGTTCACATCTTCCCTTTCCGACTGACCTACAGGAATTGTTTGAGTCAGACCACTGTGAACTGAAATGTCTCCTCTGCAAGTCATTTCTCAAGCCAGTCCTCACCCAAAGGCTCCCCACAGACCTAAGGAAGATTTGGGGACAGCATGCTGGGTCTCAGTGTGCACCTTGAGTGACATAGGCCTGACTGAAGGCCACATCTCAGAGCAAGTGCTTCAGTTTGGTCCCCACCACTCTCTCTCTCATTCCAACTGCTCCCTGGCATTATTCATTTCTCCCAAGGTTTGGACAGTATCGTCAGACAGCAAGGTCTCGAGGGAAGCCAGTTGGGCCTCTGAAGTGACACTGCAGACCCTAAGGCCCACGGGGGCCAGGTTGGTGTCGCTCAGGGAGAACCATGGAACTGTGGCAGTGTGGGCACAGGTGTGGCCTCAGCCGCTGCAAGCCCGGCAGGTCAACATTAGTCCTAAGACTTGCGGGGATACAGACTCTCCTGTGGAATCTCTGCATTGTTAGTTGATAGAAATGAACTCAGAGTTTTTAAAAAGGTACATGAGCCAAACAAAACTCATCTGTGTGCCAGACTGTGTCCCAGGCCGCCCGCCTGCTACCATCAACAGTCAAGGGCGGGAGCTCGGGGGTGATGCAACTACGGCAAGGGGAGTCACAAGAACAGTGGGAGGTTTAAGCATGGCAGCCAGTCCAGGAGCGGGACAGTGCCCAGTGCCTTCCCAGTGTGGCTGTGGCCGGCAGAACCCTCAGAATGCCATGAGGGACTGCCCACAGGGCACCACAGGCAGAGCCAGTACATAGAGACACTACTCACCCAGCACTGGCATGTTGGAGAGTGCCACATAAGCTGGATGGTGGACCACCGTGATGCGGAAGGTGGCCTTTAGAGCTGGCTCGTCAAAACAAGGGAAGACGCTCCGGGCGAACGTGGGCTCCATCTGCGAGGCAATCAGGGCCCTGAAACATGTTTGCGGGGTCAGAGGTGCAACGGGTGAGCAACTGTTTTCCTCTCTGGTCAGAGGAAGCAGGAGCGACTATGGAAGGCCGGAGCTTGTAACCCAGCCTGGGGTACCGGGGCAGCCCGGATGCGCACACCCCAATTTCAACCACATTTGGTGTCCTCCTAAGACCCAAAACACAAAAGACAATATTTGCTTCATTACGTCATAAAACTCTCAAACCTTTCACAAACAAAACAACAAATAAGCAGCCACAGTGGCCGGGTCAGGCTAGGGGGAAGTGGCCCTCCCGACATGGGTCCCTCTGTGCAAAGGCCCGTGCTTCCCCAAAACACACACTGGGTGAACTTGGCCTGTGTCTTCCCTGTCTCCCACAGATCCCCTCTTCTTCCCGCTGAAGCCTATAGGACCTCTTATTTTGGAAACAGGGGTGGGTCACCCCAGTGCGTGACAGCAGAATCAAGCACCTTTCATGCTTCCTGAGCAGATCCGTGGGCTCCTGCTGTTTGTTCAGCTGCACGGACGGCTGGCAGCTTTAGCCCACAGTGCCCTGCAGACTGGCAGGGAGGGGGCAGGGGTGCGATGCCTGATGGCGAGCTCAGCCTCTGCCAGCACAGCCCGGGGCTGCAGCCCACATCTCCCTCCTCAGAGTAAAGCTGCATGCTCATGGCCACCCTCGCTGGGCCCCACGTTACCTGGGGAGCAGTCGCCTTCCGAGGACAACTGTGGATGTCAACCTCCTGTTCAATGACTGTCCTAGGGCTTCATGACTGATGCTCTATCCTGGCTGCAGGTCCAGTTCTTGGGTAAATAAGATGTGATTTCAACAAAGCTGTTTCAAGAATCATCTGAAACCCATTCTCCACCAGGACAAGGCTTTCACTAGCACACAAGCCACAGGCCTTAGGAAGAGCTTAAAGACAGACACTACACTCAAAACCCGTTCCTGGTCCGTAGGCCAGACCAGAGCAGTCTGCTGCACACACTGGCAAGTACAGGAACTGGAGCTGGAAGCATGCCTGCTGGGAGTTACTAGGGGTCACCCAATCTAGGCTGCAGTTCCCACTGGTGTGCACAAGCACCAGGTCTGTGGCTGCTGGGTTGGGCTGGGCACCTGTTGGTTTGCACAGGACATGGGGCTGAGGACAGAACTGAACAGGTAACTACAATCTCCAGCGCGTGTAGGCTGATGCAGGTGACAGACTGAATCGAGCCCCAAACTGGCTGCCACATGGAGGAGTCAAGTCTGGGGTGACCCCAGCTGAGATTTCTGGGGGACTTCCTAACTGTACCACTGGCCTCAAAACTCGGATTTGTGGTCTGACCTTGGAATGCATGTATCAGGACTGGGCCTCCTAGATTGCTGATGCCCATGCAGTGGTTGGCATGCCCAGGTGCATAAGGGAGACAAGGTGGCCAGCTTGTTTAGGTTTGCAGAGGATGTGAAGTGCCACATAAGAAAATGGAAAGCAGAAGGGGTTGGATAATTCTCCCGGACAAACTTGGCAGGAAGTGTCTGGGGGAGTGGATGTGCTAGGGTGGACTCTGACAGCCAATGGACCTTGGAAGGACCGTCTCAACCAAGGAACAGTGAAAACAACAGCATCTCAGAACTATCAAAATCGCTCCAGCAAAACTCTTGGAACATTCTTCTCCACATTGGGGTTTCTAAGATGATATCAAATGTACGTTCTCAATTCCCGGTACTGATGTAGCTTTGGCAGCTGGGAGCGGCCCTCTCCCCTTTCCTCATTCCTGACCCACTTCTCTCCCCCTCCCCTTCCCCCCCCGCCATACAGGAGAAAAGGGAAGAAAAGGAAAATGGGAAGCTTTTGTGCCACCCACCTTCCCCCATACCTCAACCCTCCCCACACTTTTCAGTGGTCTTTATGGGCCTGCATTCTTGTCAACTATGGGAACTACATCAAAAATAAAACTTAAAAAAAGAAAACAACCCTTCTCTATTGGCCCTGTAAGGGGTCCCTGAGCCCATGGTGGCAAAGTGTCCTTGGCTAATAAGCCTGCTCTGTGCGGGCTGCCTTGTCCCTGCTTTCTCACAATTTTGCTTGCATGAGCAGGAAGGTGGCTATGGGCTCTCACCAACCTTTTGCCTGCAAGGCCCAGACCTATGCACCCACTACTGATGCATGCAGTGATAAGACGTTCTCAGTGTCACCCACAACACCGACGGTTGTCTACTGTTGTTGCCACAGAAACCACAGCAAGTTAGGCTTGTAACAGCACTGGCTACCCTGACCGGTAATCTCTGGGGATCTCAAGGAGTCCCAGGTAAGGAGAGGGCAAGAAAGCAGACGGCTCTGCTGAGCGCACACTGACCGTGTGGTTTCAGCAGGCAGGAGGCTGCAGCAGAGGAGTCACCACTCAGGCAAGCCAAACACTGGGGACTCTGCAACTCAAGGCCTTTCTGCAAAGACGGAACGCCACGGTGGCATCTGGGATCTGGAGACGCCACAGCTGGGACTTGGGGGGAGTCTAGGCTGGCTTTTCTTCCTCTCCCCTCTCTGTTCTGGACTCCAGCAGCCCTGTAAGGAGGCCCTGATCTCAGAGAGTGGAGCTGGCCCCTCTCTATCCACCCTCAGAGTCTCCCTGAAATGTACAATGGCGGCACTGATCAGCCTGAGGCCTGAGTGGCCAGCTGGGTAACAAAGAGTCTGGGAGACTGTGTACTGTGACACAGGCAATAGCACCACTGACCCATCCTCTCATCCAGCCCTAGAACCTAGCCTTCCAACTCCCTGGGTCCCTGAGGTTTCGGAGACCCTGAGGATTCAATCCACCACCACATAAACACACCCGCAGCACACCCTCAGAACAGTCATGCCTCGCTGTCTTAGGAACTCCACAAACCTCCAACTCTAGTTGACTCCAAGATGAAATCAAACTCTTGGGAGAGTTGCTGCCCCAATTTCTTACATAAAACACACTCAGCAATCAAACTCTCGGGCAGGGCCAGAGGTTACACCACCGGACTGCGGTCCAGGGCTTGGCTCAGGAACCATGTTTGCTGATTACTTGCAAAGGAACATTTCCACAGGACAACCGAGCAAAACAGATATGCAATTCAAAAGACAGGGGCCAAGCTATGTTGTACACAAGCTGGGACCCCTCTTAAGCTTAAACCAGAGGGACCGAGATGGTGGTGCCGGGAGTGACGACCGGGAAGATCTGAGGTGACACCTGATGCCAGGGCCAGCAAATCAGGAAAGCTGGGGGTAGAAGGCACTGCCCAAGCCCAGTGCTGCACAGCCTGGGGAGCAGGCTGCTCTTGGGAAAGCTGCAATCAGTAGATAGGGAGGTGGAGGAGCAAGGCCACTGACCACTAGGGGCAAGTGCCAAAAGAGTGCAGCTGCTTGGAAACCAGCTCAGTCTCAGGCAAGGGACCCATGGGTGTTCCTTGGAAGAGCCAAGCTCCAAGACAGAGCGAGCCAACATTGGGGCTGTCCCAAGGCTTGTCAGGATAAACACCCACCTGCAGCAAGCCAGAGGGGCTCAGAGCTACATTAACACACGTCCAGGGCCTGCGGAGGGGGTCAGTACCCATCAGAACAGGAACTTGGGGGGTGGGTTTTGGGGGAACGCGCCCTGCGGAGTCAAGGGAACTCCAGGCGGCAAAGCGGCAGGGTAATGCTGAAGAAACCAGGAAAATGCCCTTAGGGGAGGGTGGGCCCTGGGAGGGTGGGCCCTGTGTCTCCAGCCCCGCTCACCCTACTTGGGGACAGAGAGGTGGAGGATTCCACGCACCCTGGCCCGCCACATGGTAGCCTCTGTCCAAGAGACAGCTGGAAGGGTAGGGGAGGCAAGGACAAGGGGCTGAGGACAAGTTCACGATGACTGAGGTTCAACATGCTGAGTGGCACACAGGTGCGTGTTTTACAACTTTTGCAGCTGCCTGGAGGTGTGCTTCCATGGCTGCAGTCATGAGGAGAACGAATGGCCCACTGTGGAGGGAAAGTGGGAAAGGTGGACCCAGGCGGCCACCTCCTGCCCAAGGTTCGTTTTCAGAAGACATTGGATACGTACCTGCTGAGCATGGCCTGTCCCCGGTCGCACCTCTCAGCCCCGTGTCACCTGGGAAGGCAGTGCCGGCATCACCACGCGCCTGGCCCTTGAGCTCACCGACTTGGCTTTGAGACTCCCAAGCTCTTTCTCAATGTTGCTCAACTCTCCCACGTGTTACCCCGCAGCCCCTGCCAGAGGTCTAGCACAGAGTTGCTGTGAGGAAGGCTTTTTCCCTGCTCCACACAAACCCATCATGTTGCTCAACTTGTCCCCCAAAAAGACTCCAAGTTTCTGCCATTACATCATGACACCATCTCAGCATCTTCCTGTTTTTGCTTTTTTCCATAACTTACAAATCTTCCTTGCCTTTTCGAGTGAATGCCATCAACAGAAAAGAGCAGTATTCTTTAAGGGAATCTATGAACAAGGAAAGAATCATATGTCCTTTCTTGCTGGATTTCTAAAGTAGATGACAACTTGGAGAATCTTACAGGAAAGTGACTGCCTGGGGGTGCCAGAACCAGAGCTTAGCTCCCAGGCCCGGATCCTGTACCTGCCCCCACGCCGTCCACTCGAGCTATGTAACGTAGGAAACATGGAAATCAATGTGAGATGTTCAAATGGCTGAAGAACAGGATTAGAATCCACAGCACCAAGGGCAGATGGAATTAACATCTGCAGAAAGAAAATGTTTTAATTCTGAATTGGATATTGGACATTGAGAAGCACCTGGACTCTCAATACAGGAAGAATGAGCAAGGCAGGCTCAACAACCACCTGTCCTGTGTGGAAGAGACGTTTCTGAACTGCAACACGGAGCAGGGGGGCTGAGAGACAGGCCAGCAGTCCGTGCGAGGACGCAGGGATCAGAGCTCAGGAGACACTGACAGTCGGAATCCGAGGGCCAGAGGGTAAGCGAGGGGCGGGCTCTATGGACACACTCCTCCAGGAGCCTCGTGCTGAAGCCCAGACGCTGGG